AAAACTTATGGCACAATCAAATTGATAGACCCAAAAACTATCATTAGGGTCAAACCAATGAGGTATAGCCCTAAAGATAGAGAAGAATTTGATAAGCAAATTCAAGAGTTAATAGCCCAGAAGCTTGTATAGGTCTCAAAGAGTTCGCGTAGTAATCATGCCTTTATGATAAGAAATCATAATGAATTAAAAAGAGGAAAAGTTAGAATGGTTGTCATCTATAAACAACTTAATAGCAAAACTAAATTTGATGGTTATTTTTTACCATATAAAGAAACTCTAATTAATAGCATAAGGGGAAAGAAAATGTATTCAAAGTTTGATTGTAAATCAGGATTCTAGAAAATTAAACTAACTCTTGACAATATCCCACTAACAGCCTTTAGTGCCCCTACAAGATACTATGAGTGGTTAGTAATGCCTTTTGGTTTAAAAAATGCACCTCAACTATTTCAAAGAAGGATGGATAATGTATTTTCTTCCATTAAGAAATTTTGCATAGTTTATGTATATGACATACTAATTTTCTCAGATAATAAGAAAGAACATTTATGTCATCTTAAGAAATTTGCATATTTATGCAAGAAATATGGAATATTACTTTTCTGAAAAGTAAGTAGAGATAGGAAAAAACCAAAATTGAATTCTTTGGATTAACAATAGATTCCACAAGAATAGAAATACAATCTCATATTAGTGAAAAGATTTCGATGTTCTTAGATAAATTGGAATCTAAAGAACAAATTCAAAGGTTTCTAGGAATACTCAATTATGCAGAGCAGTTTATTCAAAATCTAGCTCAATTAAGACATCCTTTGGTAAAGCTGCTCAGGAAAAAGGAAAATTAACAATGGAAAATTTATCACATTAATCATATGAGAAGAATAAAAAAATATTGCAAAAACCTTCATAGGTTACAATTGCCTAAAGAAGATGAAGAGTTAATTTTAGAATGTAATGCCTCAGATTTTTATTGGGAAGCCGCTTTGAAAATTTCTCAAGAAAAAGTTTGTAGATAGGCTAGTGGTACATTTAAAAATGTAGAAACTAGATATCATTCAAATCATAAAGAGTTATTGGCTATTAAAAATGAAATAAAAATGTTTAGTTTCTTCTTATTACTAATACATTTTAAGGTTAGAATGGACAATACTCAAGTTAAGGGATTTATTTTTAATAAATTACCTTTAATACTAGAATATAAAAGGTTAAATAGATGGTGAAATTTCTTTGTTGAATACGATTTTGAAATTGAACATGTCAAAGGAACTAATAATTGTCTTGCAGATTTCTTGAGCAGAGAATGAGCTAATGGATGCAATCCTGAAATTCCAAATTAAAGGGAAAGACCTTATTCTCAAAGGTCAAGAGATACTCATTAAGGGCAATAGCCAAATAAGAGAAGACTAAGAAAAAATGATTGAAGGCCAAGAAATAATTGATGAAGGGCATAACCTTATGGATGAAGGCCAAGAAAAAATTATTAAAGGCCATGAGTTATTAAATAAGGGACAAGATGCCCTTGAAGAAGTCAAAAAGCTGATAGAAAAATTAATGAAATCTGGAGTAATTACTACTGTTGGAATCAGCTTTAAAGAATATAGCCAAATGGCAATGAAAAGCTTCCAACAAGTGCTAAAAGAAAATTTTGAACAAGGTGATCCTTCAATAGGGTTACTTGGAGAAAGTTCAAGGAAACTTGACTATTATGTCAAATACGCTCCCCCAGAAATAATAGTATCTCAAGCTGAAAAGCTAGCTATTCAAAATGTTGAAAGCCATAACTTTAGACCTGATTACTCAAGAAAGAAAGAAAAGAAAGTTACAATGATAGACACCTTATCAAAAATGAAAATGAGTGAAGAATATTTGCAGGAATACCGTAGAGTTTGTAAAATGGCATAGTCAATAAGGTTCACTGAGAATTGTCATCTTATCCATGAAGGGATTTATCCTAGAATTAATTTCATGCAGGATGCAAACCCAAAAACAATAAATGAGTTATTTAATTACGGTTTTATAAACTGTATTTATCTCTCAAAGGATAATGAAGAAGTTTTAGAACTTCCAGAAGTTATACACCAAGGAGTGAAGGACTTCAACACTGGCACCAAAGCTCAAGGGGTAGTATTTGTCAAAATCTACTCTACAACACCAGAATCGGAGAGATGTGAATATTTCCCGAGTTATCATATAGTTCAAATTGGAATCTAGTCCAAGAAAATCAAGGTAGAAGAAAATGAAGATCAAATTTTTCAAGACTTTGAAAAGTCACTTTGTGGGATTGAGTTCATCCAAGAGAGACGAGCTCTAAGATTAAAGGTTTTACTCCAAATCTTTGACAGAATGATAGAGATGAGGAAGACATGGACATATGGCCTCCCCAAAGAAATCTTGATAGTATCCACTAATGCAAGATTAATGACAAGCATTAGCTTGTTCAAAATAAAGTAGAAAAGAAAGGAAATCTTTGAAAATCTGGTCCCAGCCAGTATAATAGTCTAATAGACTATGCAAACTGTTAAAGCATGACAATCATTGTAGTTTTTGCTACAAAAAAAAAAATCTGCAAAAGGAAAGGCTAAAGCTTGATCTGACAAAGGAACCACCCCCTTACGCAGTGAAGAGGATCTCATCATCCTCTGAAAAATCCAATGCAAAAAGACGTAAGCTCTTAGGTCACTAGAGAAAGAAAAGTGCATCTACAAGATTCCATGTAATCTACTTTAGCAAGAGCAAGAAGTAAGTTTGGACCACCAGATAATAATGTAAACTTTAATTGTCAACAATGATGAAAGAAAAGATTCTAAGGAGAACTATAAAAAGCCTCCTATAAGTTGTAATATGTATTGGGCATTTGAATACCCAAATACCTTACTTGAGTGCCTACTACCATGTATATGTAAAACACCCTTTAAGAGGAAAGGGAACATTCCCTTTCTCATCTTAGAAATAAAATCATGTTTTAGAATAATCCTTGTGCTTTTATCCTTCCTAATTTCCATCGTAGAAAATAATGAGAAGAATTTCTGAAGATACTTAGACAGTAGTGAGGTCACTAGTCCTGTTCAAATACTTGTGTAGCCAAAGTGTGGCTTTGAAGGTTAAATGAAGGAGGCATTAGCTTGACCTAAGGCTAGACTAAGAAATTTCAGGTATGATTCTAACTCATTCTTTTTATCATGCGGAAGCTAGGTGGGCATAGAAACATTCCTATTATTTTTGGCATAATTATTTTTGAGATTAAAAATAATAGGGAAATAGTACCTAACCTCTTATATTTTAAATAGAAAAGTTTGTATTAAAAAACCTATTTGTAATGCTTTAAGATGCTTAATTTCATTCAAGAAATAATTGTAGATAAAGTGATTTATGAGCAGCAATACAAATATTATAGAAATAAAATAGTGAATATTTTAGAAAAAATAAGTAATGTTGAAGATATAGATGATTATTATCTCTTCAAGAATCTCAAAAAGTTAAAGTAAACAGCTATAGATTTAAATGAATATTTAAAAAGACTTAACAAAGCTAAACAAAGATTATCTCTACTAGCAATTTAATACATCTATTGAACTTAATATACTAGCTACACATTAGTTTGTAGTCTGAATTAGGTTCCGAAAACCCAATAAAATTTTTGGTATTAGAGCCATAAAAGAACTACAACAGAATGACGTTAAGAACGTACTTAAAAGAAGAAGTAAAGTTTTGTGAACAACAAAAAGATATAATCTCAGAGATTATAAAATTAGAAGTGTTGATCCCTTATAGAATTGATGAATTATTATGGGAAAGATATATTTTTGAAGTGAGAAGAAAAATAGCTCCAAAAGAATTAAAAATTTTAGCAAAATAAAATAAAAAATAGTTCTGAAACAAAATTAAATTTAGGGACTAAAGTGTTAATTTAACAAAAGATAAAAGTTGAACTTAATAGTGAAGACCATGAAATATTTGGTCAAAGAACAAGAACACCCAATACGTTAAAGGGTGAATAACCCTGACTTATAAATTGAAGGCAAAATCCCTTAAACTCGAAAAGTTGAAGGGCAAAGCATAGGTATATACTGAGTTATGGCAAGGATCGGAAGTAGAAGGGATAGAAGGGACAAAGCAGTGCAAGATGAGAAGTGGCAAGAATTGCATAAAGAAAGCTGTTCTTTGTTCAATGGGTGCATTCAACACCAGAATGTTGTAATTTGGTAGCAGTTAGAGCTAGATGAAGTGAGAAAGCTATTTGTGATGAGGTAGAGGTTAGGGATTCAGTGTCAACAAAATGATGATGAGGTGATTTCTAGGTCAACAGCTTTAGAGGAAGGGGATGAAGCTAATTTCAAAAGGGCCTAAAGCTTCAAAGTTGGTTTTTATGGAGGTCTGTGAGGTATGGTATCTCATTATAAAGGTAATTTCTTTTAATGTTAAGGGTTTGGGTGGTTTGCTAAGGAGAAGGTAGATTTTCAAATTAGTTAAAAATGGAGAATTTAGATTTTTTTTTTATTTAGGAAACTAAATTAGAGGGGGTTGAGGTCTCTTTGTGTAGAACATTATGGAATTTAGATGATTTTGATTGGGTTATGAAAAAATCAATGTGTAATTCGAGTGGCTTATTGTGCATATGGAATAAGAAGAGTTTTGTCAAACAAAGAGTGATAGAAGGGAATGGATTCATTGGGATTTTTGGCAAATGGGGTAATGAGCAACTTAAATGCAAATTTGTTAATGTATATGCTCCATGTGATAGGTAGAGGAAGGCTTCGTTGTGGGTGAAGATTGGTGGATTAGTTTTGAAAAAGGTTGTAGATGGCTTTTGGTGGGGGATTTTAATGTAGTTTGGAATGTTGCAAAGACGAAGGGAAGATTAGGAGAGACACAAGATATGGAAGATTTTAATCAATTTGTGGAAGGGACTGGGTTAATAAATATCAGATGGAGGAATAGGAAGTTTACCTGGTATAAATCGATGGAACTTCAATGAGTAGGCTTGACAGGTTTTTGCTATCTACAAAATGAGTTTACTCGATAGAGATTGGACTAAAGTTGGCATTCAAAGATCAATTTCATATCATTCAACAATCATTTTGAAGTCAAGAAATATAGATTAGGGTCCTAAGCCTTTTCATGTACTTGATGCATGGCAACAACACCATGTGCAACAACACCCAGTCTTACTAAAAGGTAAAGAGTTTCACCTGATTTGGAGCAGGGATAAAGATCACCAGGCTGGCCATTGATGAGGAAGGCCTCCGAATTGAATTGGGTGGCATCACCGTTTCGTTCAAGAATTTGGTATAACTCCATTATTGTTGGGTTAGGCCTATCCTTTCCATGTGGAGAAATGGCCAATATTTGTAGACTAAGCCCACACTTGTTAAGCCCACTTGAAGCCACATTTTGCAGCCCTTTAAGACAAAGAAAGGAGTCTGATTTGGACAGCAGAAAGTGGAGAACACGTGAGTGGACCAGCCGGCAGAAAGGGCAAGAAAGTAGGGGAGAATTCTGGAGATTTGGTACAGTGCGCAGTTTTGCAACTTTGTTTGAACCGCAGAAGTTCACCATTGGATTGAGTTGAAATTTGGTCTGGGGCTTCACAAGACTCTGATCTACAATCTAAACGGTCAGTTTTTCGTTTGGAGCTCTATAGGTTTAGTTCTTGTGTCTTGAACAGTAACTCGTATTTTGGTGCTCTGTTTTCTTGTGGTCCCTTTTACTTTGTTGGTTTGTGGCCTATTGTTCCTCTTATTTGGTGCTGTTTTTGTGCCCTTTTGAAAGAGGATATTGTGTACTCACTTTTATTATAGTAGAACTGTTTTTGTGGACTGGATGTCCTGTGGTTTTTACCTATTTTTGAGGTTTTCCACGTAAAATATTGTGTCTCTTGTGTGGTTGCTTTGCCTTGGTTATTTTTACGGCTCTGCATATTTTTAACTGCTGCCATAATTTATTTGGACTCAATTTAGCTTGCTCCTAATAATTTCAAATAGATTGGGAAAGATTTTGGTGTTGCTTTTGTTTCCGCTGTGCTCAGGTGACACCCCATTCTTCCCAACAATTATATCTTCTTTCCACCAGTCTCCTGCATTTTCAACAATCCAAAACATTCCAAATCTTTATTTAATCAATGAAATTATTTTGAATTTATATTATATTTTTAATTACCTAATATGATGGGAAAGAGAGCTTTATGGGAGGAGCTCAAACACTTGATACAGGAAAATAGAGGTAACTGGTACATGGTAGGTGACTTTAACGCTATTCTAGGAACACATGAGAGCAAAGGTGGTGGAGGGAGTGTTAGGGAGATGCGGGAATTCAACGAATTCATGGAGGGGTCTGGTTTGCTTGATCTCCTTTTAATTGGAAGGAAATTTACTTGGTATCATCCAAATGGGTCATCAATGAGCAGATTAGATCGGATCCTGGTCTCTAAAGAATGGTTGTCAAATTGGAAGGAATGTAAACAATGGGGGTTGAAACGCATAATTTTAGATCACAGCCCTATTTTACTAAAGAACCAGATAAGGGATTGGGGTCCACAGCCATTTAGAGTTTTTGATGCAAGGCTTGAGCAACCAGGTTTTAAGCAAATGGTGGAGGAGATGTTGAATTCAATAAGGATCAGCGCATGGAGAAGCTTCCAACTAAGAAAAGATGAAAACCTTGAACAAGGCAATGAAACAATGGAGCAGAGGCTTTGTCCATGGAGTGGAAGACCAAACTAAGAAGGCATGGGAGATTATAGATCAATTGGATATTAAAGTTGAGACTCAACAGCTAACAGAAGAAGAAGTGCAATGTAGGAGAAATCAGACAATTAAGTTATGGAAGAACTTAAGAATTATGGAGAGGATGCACCGACAGAAGGCAAGGAAGACTTAGCTAAAGGAA